GTACCCGGTGCGGAGTGTAAACATCGCCACCGGGGAGACGAAGGCGGCCGGGCGTGGTGCTGGCCACCCAAAACCCCTCTTCGTGTGCCGTGCCGTACCTCGGCAGGTGCTCGCACATACTTGCCCCCAACAATCGACGCGGGCTACACGGGGGACCTTTGTCTTTATGAATATGCAACACGCGTAACACGCACCTGCTGGATCGCGTATCCGTGCCCGAGTCAATGATACCTCAAGAATGTGAAATTCAACTTTATATAATCACGACAACGGTATTCGAACCCGCTGCCTGCCGGGAGGCAGCACTGCCCACGGCTTCGGTACGTGGTTGCACGTGACCCAGCACTGCTGTGGCTGCCAGCAGCAGCAGCAGCGAGGGGGTTGGCGGGTCACACACAGATGGCCGTGAAACCGCCTTCCCACGTGGGTGTCGATGAGGTTGTTGTAACCCCCGGCTGTGGCAGGAGTGTGCGGGTTACTCGGCCGCAGCAATGCGCGGACCCCACACTGATGCATCTGTGCGCGGAGGACCGAGTTCCTGGGCTCCCCTCGCACGCGGAGGGTTTCTCCGGGCGCTCCGGTTTTACTCGCACGCGTAAACACGCGTTCACCGACCGATTGCCGCCTAAATATGTAGAGGACTGCGGAGCTCGGACGGGGAATTTGGTGGCGGTGTGATGGCACAGACGATGATGTGGGGTTGGTGGTGATGGTACAGCGGTGAAGGTTTAGTTTGTGATGTTACGGGGGAGGTGTGATGGCACAGACGATGAGGTGGTGGTGATGGTACAGTGGTGGAGGTTTAGTTTGTGATGTTAGAGAGGATGTGGAGATGTGATTGGCACATATGATGTGGGGGTGGTGGTGATGGTACAGTGGTGGAGGTATAGTTTGTGATGTTACAGAGTGGTGGAGGAGGTGTGATTGCACAGACGACGATGTGGGGTGGTGGTGATGATGAGGCCACTTGTTGAGCTGTCATTTGTGGCCAGCTCGCTTCTGAACATAAGTGAACACCTCAGTGGGCTGTGCCTGGCCAGCATCGGGTAGTGGAGTTGATCTTGTGTTCGGGCGATGTATTTCCATTTCCTTTCCACTGCTCTCGTGTTTTGGCACTGATTGTTGTTGCAACGTTCTCACTTCGTGACTCTACTGGACATCTGTGAAAAATAGCTTTATAGCTCATCGGATTCCTCCAGTATATGTAATAAAATATATATATTCTGATAGCTCATTAATTTTTGAAAACGTCTTAAATAAAAGAAATGCGGCAGGAGAACCCTACGAAACAAAATAAACACATTCCTGCGGAGGGAGCTGGTAGGAACGTTGGGTTGCTCGGTCAATGGCCTGCAGGGTCAACGGCGGCGTGGTGTATTCCGCAAATATGCCCGACTGTGAGGGCGGGCACAAGCCGGCGTGAGTAGGTTAAACGTTGAGTTTTATAAGGGCACCACGGGGTGACCAGCCCCTCCCACCCCCCACCCAGCCCCCCCCTCCCCACCCAGCCCCTCCCCACCCAGCCCCTCCCTGCACGACGGACGGACACAATAATCCCCTGTGGGCTGGTGTAACCAGGAGGTTCCTACCAGTAATATATACCGTACTATACTCCGTGTGGCACGACTTGATAGACGATACGGAAATGAAACCAGCAAATGCCAATTGACAGCGCTGCACCACCGCCACCTGCTGCCCACGAGCCCATCAGTTCAACTCGATGTGTAACAGAACCTCTTGCGAGCACAATCACGATGCAACACGCTGTTTGGTTCCTGGGTAGTGTTATTTTCCTAATTGATTGTGCCTAAAAAGTATATAAAGTGCTATTATTCCCCACAAGCTTTGCTTTTGTGACCAGGGCAGTGATATTTATAAATTTACCTATTTTCAATGAGAAAACGTGTGCATTTGTCTAATTCCTTCACATAAAGTCCTGGTCAGAAAAGCAAAGTTTGTGGGGAATAATAGTCAAGTTCTGTACTTTTGAGGCATACACAATTAGAAAATAACACTTACTAACCAGGAAAAAGTTGTTTTTCGTTCCACAGTGAAATCATCTGGCGACAGCCGCCGCTGCTGCCTTAGGTGCCCAGCCACAGCGAGCGCGCAAGCCGGAGGAGCTAGCAAAACCAAAAAGTCTAGATTTGAAGCTTTCGTGACTGCAAGGATTCATACTCTTAGGTTTTTTCGGTAAAGTCACATAGGGAAAAGTAAATAATAAAATAAATAATAAAATAATGGTGATAATAATAGAAATAAAATAATAAATCCCGAAACGTCGTGATTTACTATTTATTTCTATAATTTAATTATTTATTATTTATTTTTACCTACGTGACTTGACCGAAAAAAACCTAAGAGTATAAAACCAAACAAGCCGAACGGGGAGGAGGCTTTCGCGACCCCACGTGCCGTCCCACGACCTTCCCACGGGGGAGGTCAGCAGCGAAGCGAACCTCAGCGGGAGCTCTGGCGGTAACCAGAGGTCGCAACCGGGTACCCGATACCCGTACCCTACCCGATACCCGGCTACCCGTACCCGGCCGGGTACGGGTACCCGTTTGCGACCCTGGTGCGGCCGGGTACGGGTAGGCCGTGAGTCACTGGTGAGTAACTGTTTGTCACTCATTTCCCAACGTCTTGTCTCTTCTCACAATTCAAGTTCCTAGAATCAACCCACCCGCGCCTGCAACATGGCTTCATCCCAGAGGTCGCAATCAGGTACACGATACCCGTACCCGGCCGGGTATGGGGGTAGGGTACGGGTACGGCCGGGTACGGGTACCCGTTTGCGACCCTGGTGCGGCCGGGTACGGGTTGGCCATGAGTCACTGGTGAGTAACTGTTTGTCACTCATTTCCCAACGTCTTGTCTCTTCTCACAATTCAAGTTCCTAGAATCAACCCACCCGCGCCTGCAACATGGCTTCATCCCAGAGGTCGCAATTAGGTACCCGGTACGGGTAGGGTACGGCCGGGTACGGGTACCCGTTTGTGACCCTGGCGCGGCCGAGTACGGGTAAGGAATCAAAACCCGTTTGCGACCTCTGGCGGTAACCCCGTCCCTCCCTCCCCGCTTCCACGAAACGTTCGCTCCTCGGACGCGAAGGGGTCCGTCTCGGCACCGCTCTGCGGGAGTTCCGGACCGGCTGTTGTTTTGCGGGACCCGGCACCGTTGGGGTAACGTCGTTTTTGAAGGCTTCCTAGGGGGTGGGGGACGCTCAATCAACTGGACGGCAAATCGGCGATCGAAAGCAAATCGTTCCTGGGATAGAAGTTTTATTGGTGTCAAGTGTAGTGCACGGCACACACGCGCGCGCGCGGTTAAGAGAGGGAGGCTTTGCAAAACGAACACCCCCTAACGCCCGGCTACGTTTCGCGTCGATCGGTACGCTACCAAAAATAGGAAAGGGGGGGGGGGGGGTGGTGGAACAAAAAAAACCGAAACACCTCGACGGAAATCGTTAATTCGGAATAAAATATTACACCCACAGAGAAACACCATACCGCAGCCTCTTAAGAAATCGTTATAAAATTACACCATATTGAAAAATGTATACACCTAGATTAAAAATTAACCATTACATGATTAAAAATACTTTACCCCCATTGTACTAAAATATATTTCATTTCATCTAAAATACAGACATTGCATTATCGACGTCGATCGGTTAACAGTTGAAACACGAGAGAAAGCAAGCTTCAAGAATGAGTGACCGCTGTCAAGTCCGGTTAGACAAAGTAAAATAAAAAATCTACGGTGGAGGTGGCGGCAGCAGCATCGCGGACGCGATGTTGCCGGCCGACGCGTGGACTCCGGGAGACACGGACGATCGCGCCGCCCTGCGGAATCGGGGCCCGCGACGCTCGCACAAGGATCGGGAGAAACGACAAACGGTGAGCCAACGATGAACAAACGACGATGAACCAACAAAGATGAACCAACAACTCCCAGAGACCGCCCCACCACTCCAGCAACTCCAAACCACGTGGGTGTTGGTTATCGATAATCGAGTGTCCGCTGGAGGAGTGGAGTGGGGGGGGGGGTAGCACTGAGGAGCAGGGAGGTGGTGAAACACAGCAGCGATGGCTGGGTCCTAACCCCAACCCTCCCCCCCCAACCTCCTCCTCCTCCTCCCTCCTCGCGTGTTCCGTGAGAATGAGCGACGCGCAAACGGTGCGCTGCTAACACCAACACGCAGGAAGGAGGCCCTGGTGGGGAGGGGAGGGGGGGGGCTTCCCCATCATCTCCGAGCTACGTTACCCCCCCCCCACAGCCTTGTCTAGACCACTAGCTCAGCAGAGGCCGAGTGTGTTGTGGCCGAATCGTTGTTTAGGTGGCCGATTCGAGGAAGGATTTGAGAAACCCAGGCAACCACCCCCTGCCGCTGCTGCTGCTCATCTAAAGTGGGCACTGCTCCACCGCCACCACCACCACCAACCTCCCACGCCACACCCCCCCCGCGCCAAACTCGTAAATTAAAAATAAATCTGCCGTGACAGCGGCAACGCCACGACCGGCTCCAGGAGTTCACCAAGGTGCAGGAGTTACCCCCCGGCGCCATAAATATACAGTACATCCGGCCGACTCGTCTTAGCCGCTCACGCTCGCATTCGTTTTCAAATGGTAAACGGTACCACGTCTGCTGGCGGTGGGGGTGTGGGCTGGGGTGGGTTACCTTGCCTGGCAGAAGCAGCAGCAGCCGCCAACACAAGGCCAAGAGAGATGACGACGACGAACCTCGTCAGATGACTTTGCCGGCAGGTATAAAACAATCAGGCGGTGGGGGGGTGATACAATTAGCGTGAGAGACGACTACTCGAAGACATTTTTTTAAGGCATTACCGTGTCCTACGATTTCGGTGCGGGGGGGGAAGAAAATCTGTGGTACGATTAGTGCTGCTACAAAAGTATCGCTGCCGTGAGCGGTCGCTGAAGAAGGAGCCCCCCCCCCCCCCCCATTGAACCTTGTTGTGCTTGGCGATAAGACTGGGGGGGGGGGGGGGGCAGGGGGGGGGGTGGGAGGTCGCACCGCCCAAGGCAAGAACCCTCATCATGCACCCTGAGCCGCGGCAGCGCCGGCTCGGAAAGCCGAACAGCGACCCCCTCCCACCCCACCCCACCCCCACCCCAGGTCTGGATTATCAGAGGCGTAAAGGCACGGACTGGCGGGAGCCTGAGGGTACGGGCTCGACGTTAAGCTGAAGGGACGAGGCATTGTGTGTGCCTGTGTGCGTGTCGCACCTGGGGGGGGGAAACGCGTCCGTGACCTCCTGCAAGCGCTTGGCCTTCCGACACTTCACGTGGCCGCAATGTGCGTCTAAGCACGGCACAAGCGTCACGGTGACGTCACCGCCACTTAGTGGTGAACGGCGGTTGTTGTTGTTGTTGTGCGTGTGTACGTGCGTGCGGCGAATGACGGCTGTTGTTGTTGTTGTATTTGTTGGGGGAGCGGTAGCGTAGCGGGCCAGCGCACAAAGCTACGGACCCGGCGCACAGAGTTCGATTCCCGCTCACGACCAGGAACAGTGGCGATTATCTGAACCAGCCCTGGGCCTCCCCTTGGGTCGACTGAGCCTTAAATGAGTATCTGATGCGGTGTGTAAACATCAGCACTGGGGAGACTGGCCACACGACCCCCTCTCGTGCGCCGTGCCGGCTTTCATAGGCGCTGCTACTCGCTAACAGCACTTGCCCCAAACAGCCTGTTGAAGAAGGCTATGTAGGGGTGATATTTGTCTTTGCGTGCGGTGTGTGAATCCGTTGGGGTCTTCGCTGGCGAGCGACGGGTGTGGGGGGAGAGAGAGAGTGAGAAGGTAGGTTCCAGGAGCCGTCGGTTAACTCTGCGGAACAAGCGGGAGGGGAAGAGACAACTCGGGATGAATGAGACGAAACCGACGGGAGCTCTTGGGAGCATCAGTAGCAGTGGCAGCATCAGGGGTAGTAGGGGCAGCAGTAGCAGCAGTATCAGCAGTGGCATCAACAGTGGCATCAGCAGTGGTAGCAGCGGTAGCGGCAGCAGGGGCGGTAGCAGTAGCAGCAGCAGCAGCAGTGGTAGTAGGAGCAGTAGGAGCAGCAGTAGCAGCAGTGACAGCAGTGGCAGCAGCAGTGGTAGCAGCAGTAGCAGCAGTATCAGCAGCAGCAGTATCAGCAGCAGTAGCAGCAGCAGCAGTATCAGCAGCAGTAGTAGCAGCAGCAGTAGCAGCAGTATCAGCAGCAGCATCAGCAGCAGTAGCAGCAGGGGCAGTAGCAGCAGCAGCAGTATCAGCAGTAGCAGCAGTATCAGCAGCAGTATCAGCAGTAGCAGCAGCAGTATCAGCAGCAGTATCAGTATCAGCATCAGCAGCAGTATCAGCATCAGCAGCAGTATCAGCAGCAGTAGCAGCAGTATCAGCAGCAGTAGCAGCAACACGACGCGATCGACGCGACGCTCATCGCCGACGACACCCGAACCGCCGACGCGGTGGGTCGCTCCGCCGCACCGGGGTGCCACTCTCCGCCACTCGCGGGTTCCCGGGAGAGTCACTCCACGAATCGCTCCACGAAGCCCACGCCCGACATCGCGCGGGGACCTCACGACGCGACCGCACGTCAACACGGATTTGCGCAAACGACAAGTTTGGGGGGAGAATCAACACGGTTGCCGTTGTGGACGACGTAACGGCACGCAAAGCCGACAGGCCCTGGTTTGTCTCTCTCCCTAGAATTTGAGCAATGCTGTAAATTAAAAGCATTTCTTTGTCTCTCTCCGCACTGCCATCTACCGACAACAAGGTAGCGGAAACGTGACGTAACGAGGTGGGGCGTCGGTTTAAAAACGAATGAGAGCACTTACATCTCCGCGCAAAAACAGTATCCATCCTGCTTCTCGAGTCAGGGCGCCTACAGAGCGGAAGGGGGGGGGGAGAGGTGATGGTGTTAGCGTGCTCATCCACACATCCGTTCGTCAAATCCTAACTTCTCATCCTCTCACATTCTCCCTTGCCATCCTCTTATTGCAAGACCCTCCGCCACCCGACACAGCCAAACAAGATGAGATTGTCGCGCTCGCAAGCATCCAACGCTACCAATCACCATCATCATCATTATTTTTAACGCTTCGGCTCGCGAGCGAGAGAGGGGGGGGAGACAGAACAGCTCTCACAACCATGTACCCCCCGCGCTACATAAGGACGGGCGCTAGTTTTTGCTAGCGTCGCCGGCGTCACCAGCATTTCACCGCCGGGCAACCAGGGCATGCGGGGAAGCGTGTGAGGCAGCGTGCGGGACAGCGTGCGGGACAGCGGGCGGGACAGCGTGCGGGGCAGCGTGTGGGGCAGCGTGCGGGGCAGCGTGCGGGGCAGCGTGCGGGACAGCGTGCGGGACAGCGTGCGGGGCAGCGTGCGGGGCAGCGTGCGGGCCAGCGTGCGGGCCAGCGTGCGGGCCAGCGTGCGGGGCAGCGTGCGGGACAGCGTGCGGGGCAGCGTGCGGGGCAGCGTGCGGGGCAGCGTGCGACCCCATCCCTCACCGGCTTGGCTCCCACGCGACCACCGGCCTTGGCCTCCGCAGCCGCAGCCGCCGCCGCCGCGTTAGACGAGCTCAGGGTCTCCTGAATCTCCTCCAGCACGGCTGGGATGGGGATGGGGCGGGGGCGACAATCGGCACTCCGCGTTACACGTGCGCCCCCGCGCGATACAAAGACAAAGATCCCACGCCTCTTACCCGTACAGACTCTTACAGGCTGTGGCGGGGGGGGGAAGTGCCGTGTCGGCCGCAACCACGGGGTGAGTGGCAAACACCACGCTCGGCTGGCCAATCGGAGGTGCTGGTGGTATGAATATGAGTAACAAAACTGATGAAATTATGAGCTCCCAGGAGGACGGCCACGTGGCTGAATAATTTATTTCTTTTGAACGTTCTTTCCCCCCCCACGTGTAGAGACAGACGCTGTGGAGTCAAGAAGGATTGGTACTCACACGAGTCGGTCAACAGGGCGTTCTCCATGATCTTTCCCTTCTTCTTACCTGCTGGAAGAAATCCACAGTTCAAGGAAGCCACAAACCACACGGAGACAGAGATCCACACTGCCCCCCCCACGGCATTACAACGGCTCGTGTTCCCACGTTACAGTGGCACGCTCCCCCGCGTTGTACCAAAACGCATTGCAGTGCGTCTTCGCGAAACGGTACCCATTTGATCCACTTAACACATTCAGCCTTTTTCTCAAGGACGCAAACCCAAACGTCACGTGGAGGTACGACGGGAGGCCGCGTGTGTGAACATCACCTACTCCCAAACGACACGGGGAGTTACGACAGGCGCCTGCGTGTGTGAACGTCACCTTCTCCGACAGACGAGCTGCTCCCATTGCTCCTCGTGCTGTTCCTCTGCCTGTCCTTGGCCGAATGCCTGCAAGAAGGGGGTTTCGTCGCGGCAATAAACCGGCTTTGCAATCGAGAACACACCGAGGGGGGCCATCGTTCTTTGCCGGCGCCCCGCGCAATTAAGCCGCCCACCCCCCCCCGCGCCACATTGTTCTCCGCTCACCGTGAACGTTTAGCTTAAAAATTTGAGCCGGTACATAACCGCTCGCTCTATATGTCCGACGATCGTTCGTGGTTTTTGTTCCACGCATTGTCGGTCAAGACTCCCACGTTTTGCTTCACTTGATCTGTGTCGTTGGCGCGTTCTTTTATTTTTTCTTGCGCCGGGACATTTTTTTTTTTTAAACCCGCAACTTCGCCTGTAACCTTGTTTGAAGCGATGTTTGCTGGATGTAACTGGGACCACCCCCTCCTGCAAGTGATGCATGCATGCATGTAGAACTTATTTCGCACCGTATGTAGCCAAGCACGCAATTCGGAGGTGCGAGGGAATGAGAACGAACTAAACACGACTGTGATAAACTCAACTCAACTGCACTGGGATTACACGGAGCGCTCATTACTGCCCCACACTGGAAGACTTGCCCATTCGCCGGCTGGTGGCTGCATTGACGTTGAGCTGCGTCGGGAGAGCTGCCACCTTCCTCTAAGCTCGACCACATAGCGGCAATCATCGCCCCTTCGTGGCAGGCTCGTGCACAGGGACAGCTGCCGCTGGAACGCTAGAGAGGAAGTGGGGATGTACGGCAGGTGCCTCGAGGTGGGGTGAGGGGGTGGGTCACCTGGTGGGGACGTCGCGAGCCTTGGGCTGCACGGCGCACAGCGGCTCCGTGATGCTCTTTGCGGAGAGGGAGAAGCGCTCAAACTCCGACGGGGAGATCAGATAGAAGCCTGGGACACGACCGGACACACGAGCACATACGCCTGTATCTCCCTCGTGGGGTGGAAGCAGTGGGGGAGGTGGTGGGGTGGAGGAGGAGGGGGGGGTGGCGAGCTGGTGGGCGTCCGCGGTAGCCGAGTCCTCACCCTGTCCCGACTTGGTGAAGACGCAGGAGGCGATGCCGCTCACGTCCTCCCGGCGCATGCAGCCGTGGCGCGCCTGCAGGCGCAGTGCGGGCACGCTGTAGGCGTGCACCTCGCCCAGGTTGGTGAGGCACACGAGGCAGCTCTCGCTGTAGTCTTCCCCCGCCGGCGCCGCGCTGGCGAACGTGGCCAGCGCCACCTTGCGCACGCGCGACCCCTCCGTCGCCGTCAGCTTGAACTTGTTCTTGGCGCCGACGCGCGGCAGTGCGAACACCTGTCGGGCGTGGGCGGGCACGGGCGCGGGCGCGGTGAGACGTCAGCCGAACTAACGTGGCCCTCCGTTACTTTTATTTTACCAGGCAAGGCCCACGGAGCTACGTAGCAGTCTTTTTCAGAATCGAGTTAGCTACAGATGGATAGCTCGATGAAGTGTCTCATCACGTGGAAATGTGTCGCAGCCAAAAACTCCCGCAAGAGCAGCCTTCGAGAGCATTCATCGTAAACGTTTCACTCGATCCACGTTCACACGAAGCAGCAGCAGCACAATCCCCTGGCGAACAGGGACCCCATCCCCCCTCTACTGTCCCGCACAGGAAGAGGCTCTCGCGCAGGCAACATGCACACCTTGTATGTTTGTTAAGTTGAACTTCTTTCGCGCCGTATGTAGCCAACCCTGCTAATCGGAGGAAGGACAAGCAACTAGCAACAAAATCAGTTCTGAAAAAATTTAGTTTTCAATCTCGATTATTTTAAAGTGCACAACTTCAGTGGGATTCCTAATACCGGCAGAGCGTCCCTGATGACTGCAGAAGTGCATCTGACAGTGCCGTGCGATGCAGTTGCCACCGTCTTTGTTCGATGGCCGAGCCAAAAGCCATTGCTGCTGCTGCTGCGATAATGACAGTTTGAGTTGGAGTAAGATCTCTCGCGAGGTCTTACCCGAGTCTCAAGACTCTTTCCTCAGTAGGGCCCTGCTACATTTGGGTTCCACCATTGGAACCTCCTTTGCCAGTAGTAAAATATGATTGTTTTTTTACCCTTTTATCTGGCAACAAAACTGACACCTTTTTTACAAGGAGTCATGTTTGCATTGACCACAATACCTGCGGTCGGAATGCAGGTATTGTGGCCAATGCAAACATGACTCCTTGTAAAAAAGGTGTCAGTTTTGTTGCCAGATAAAAGGGTAGAAAAACAATTATTACATTTGGGTTGTTGGCCAATGCCAATAATGGGAGAGTTTGGCTTCTTGTTGGATAAAACCGGAGAACCCGGAGCAAACCCATCACGCACGCATATGCGGGGTGGCGGGGTGCGACACGCAAAGCCTCCGCACAGATAGATTCAAGAATCCATGGCTGCGCTTCCTTCTCCTGGCCACCTTGCAGCCGGCCAGGCTGCAGCAGCAGCTGGCACACCACTCGCGTCGTCTCTGTCCGCACCTTGAACTGCTCCTCGGAGATGATCAGCAGCGAGTGGCTTGAGCCCATCTCGGGCGACTTGGCCAGGTCGTGCAGCACTTCTAGCGGCTCGGGCAGGGGGCTGCCCTTCCCGTCCAGCACGGTGAGGCCCACCACGGGGGCCCGGTGCATCAGCTGGATCTCCTTGGCTGCGCGCGCGGGGTCCACGTGGGCCCACGAAAGACAAAGACGCCCAACCTCCGTGTAAAACTTAGAGCGGACTTTTCGATTTAAAGCTTTCGTGACTGCAGGGATTGATCTTCTTGGTTCTTTCGGTAAAGTCACGTAGAAGGGAAGTAATAAAATAATAAAAATAAAACATAATAAAATAATTCTCACGACGTTTCGGCCACAACGCAAGCAGCCGTCTTCACCTAAGGACATCAGTGCGGCCGTTTTTCGCTTGGTTAACTTCCTCAACAGCAACACAACTTGACACTAAAGTTTTGTTCATGCTGGATCATCTGTACGGAAGTCACCCACGCTACCCGCCCCCCCCCCCCCCATTATGGATGGACAAGAGAACCAGACGGATGCACTAAGTACGTACGGACATACGGACCCGCTTATCACCCTTCGTCGGGAAGCGTTTAACGAATATCACCGGTTGGCAATCGGGGCAACCCCCCGCCGGCACGCCTGGTACGTACCTAGCCGAGCTTCCACCGGAGTCTCCGATCGGCGCTCAGACGACGGCACGTCGATGGTGTAGGCGAAGATGATGCCAGCGTTGGTGCCGGCCCACAGGCTGGGTCCGTGGTGTGATCCTGGGTCCGTAAAGACAACAAAACACAAACGCTGATTTTCAATAAACACCACTTGGCTGCATCCGCCGAGCAACAACTATAATTTGTGTTGCATTCGCACGGCGCTCCCCGTAACATAACAGAACATATCAGAGTGCAGGGCATTTATTTACACATTAATTTTTTAGCCAAGGGGAGGGACCCAAGGGAACCCCCCACTGCTACCACCGAATGAGAGGAGTGAGCTGCCGGTCAGGAGAGGTGAGCGAGCGGATGAGCGAGCAGGTGAGCGGACGAGCGAGTGGTTGAGCGTGCGAGAGCGAGCGGGAGTGCGAATGAGTGGGCGAGCAGGCGATCGAGCGGGTGTGCGAGTGAGCGGGTGTGTGAGTGAGCGAGTGGTTGAGCGGGTGAGTGAGCGGGTGAGTGGGCTAACGAGCGGGTGAGCGAGCGGGCGTGCGAGTGAGCGGGCGAGCGAGCGGGCGAACGAGCGGTTGAGCGAGCGGGGGTGCGAGTGAACGAGCGGGTGAGCGAGTGAGCGGGTGAGCGGGCGAACGAGCGGGTGAGCGAGCGAGCGAGCGGGCGAGCGGGTGAGCGAGCGGACCGTCACGCAGGAACGTGTCGGCGAAGTAAATGCACTTGACGACGCCGGAGAGGGAGTCGTCGGCGGAGCGAGCCTCGATGCGGCGCTGCACGGGCGCCAGCTCCACCTCGCCCTCTGCCTCCTGCACCTGCACACAAAGACAAAGATCCCCCCCCAAGCTGTGTAGCCTTAGCAGCCGGTAAGGGGCAAGTGCCGTTCGCGAGCAGCGCCTACGAAGGCCGGCACGACACACGATGGGGTGGGCGGCCAGCACCACGCCCGGTCGCCTTCGTCTCCCAAGTGGCAATGTTTACACAGCGGTACCCGTTTTTAGGTTGAGTAGACCTCGGGGAGGCCTAGAACCAGTTCAGATAATCGTCACTGATGTTGGCCGCATTCGAACTTGGGTCGCCGGGTTCGTAGCGCAGCATGCCAATCGCTACATTACACGTGCGCGCGCACAACACACGCACACACCAAACACACACGCACACACCAAACTCGCACATACACGCACAAGCACACATACGTACACACACGCACGCTGACACACACACACACGCTGACACGCACGTGCACACGGGCGTACACTCGCCAGCATGGGCAGGCGGGCGGGCGGGCACACGCACGCACGGACAAACGCGACCGTGCACGCAGATGGATGCGCATGCACATGCTCGGACACGGGATGCACATGCCACGGTGAACGAAACGGGCACGAAGATCCCGCGTGCAGCCTTACCGATTTATATAGCGCCTTATTGCAAGGTCGCTTTACAGCAATGACAAAACTGCACGTAAGATGACAGTGGTTGAGATAAAAGATTGGGGGCGTTATTAAGAGTGGTGGTGTAGTTACGGTGACAGGAGAACAGGCGCGGATGGTTAAGGAGGGGGTTAGGGTCGGCCTGGTCGTAACTGGGGGGGGGGGGGGGGGGGGGCAGTGCACCCCACGCATCGTGACACCCACAGCAGTGGTAAGGCTACCCCCCCCCCACTCGAGGACATGCGGTGACGGCAAATCATCGTGGACATTCACGCGTGGAAGCTCGTGACACAGGGTTAGTGGGTGATCCCCCATTGCCTCTCGTGAAAGGGGTAAACCCATCACTTACTTTATCCAGGCGGCCCTGAGTACTGACACACTGACAAAAAAACGACAATAACAACACATACACATTTGTATTTCACAAAGTTACATCCACAAGAAGAACCCCCCCGCCCCACCGGGCAGCAGCCTCTAACAGAGCGAGTAGCACCTACGAAGGCCGCCACGGCGCACAAAGTGGGTGGGCCAGCACCGCGCCCCAGTGCTGACGCGTTTGCACGCCGCATCGGGGACTCATTCTAGCGGCGAGACCACCTAGGGGGAGGCCCAGGTCCGGTTCAGGAATCCCTCGCCGCTAAATTGTAGCGGTGGTCAGGAATCGAACCCGGGTTGCCGGGTTTGTGGCGCGGCGTGCTAACCGCAGCGCCGCCCACCATCACCACCAGCCACATTTGTTGCAGTCATAATGCAAAAAAAAACATGTTTTTTGTTTGCATTACATGTTTTTTGTTTGCATTATGACTGCAGGTATTGTGGTCTATGCAAACGTGACTCCTTGTAAAAAAGGTGTCAGTTTTGTTGCCAGATAGAAGGGTAAAAAAACCAATTATCATATTTTTTACTGGCAAATGAGGTTCCAATGGTAAAAACAAAATGTCAAGGATGAATATCAAAGGCAGGCCACTCTCCCTGCCCGCTCTCGCCGTATCGCTGCGACGCGGCTCACGCCGGCCAGAGGGCCGCACGGGGGCCGCACGTTGGCCGCGTGCTGGTGGCTGCTGCGGGCACCTTGTTGGCGCCGTCCCTGGGCGGCCGCTTGCGCCCCGACGCGCGGCTCTTGCTGATCCTGCGGAACGACTGGCGCAGGGACTTCTTGAGCGACTTGACGCGCGACAGGGGGCCCTCCAGCGCCAGCGCGTCGTTGGGGTGCAGCGTGCACCTGGCACGGGGGGAAGGGGAGGAGGGGGTGGGGTGAGGAGAGACACGGACGCCATAGAGCGGCGATGCGCTCGTCGTTAGCTCGGTAGTCCGCGCGTCCCCGGTCCGCTTCCTAATATCGGAAGGAAGAGCGTTCCAGACGGCCGCAGAAGCACATCTGAACGCGCGCGTCGCAAACGAGCTCTCATCTCAACCGTTGCATTGCTACACGTACCACTAGCACACGTTACTATCATTACGCTTGTTTACCCAGCAAAGCCTCAGGGAGTCTCGTGACTCAGAACAGCGGCCACTCAACGTCTAAAAAAAACTAAAAAAATTCCCGGACGCTCACTTGGACATAACGGCCCGGCGCTGCTGGAGGTCGAACAGCGCCAGCCCGTGGCTGGTGCCGAACGCCACGAGGCGCCACTCGGGGTGCAGCGCCAGCGACGTGACGGACGCCGGGGGCGAGCACTGCACCAGCAGCTGCGGCTGGAAGCCGGCGGGGAAGCGGATGCGGCCGGCGCGCTGCGTCAGCCGCTCGTGTCCCTTCCAGCGGAACGTCTCGTTCTCCTCGAGCAGGTCCACCGTGTACACGTCCACCTCGTGCTCCACCTCGTCGTCGTTCAGCTCCATCACCAGCACCTGCGGCGGAGGGGGATGAGGAGAAGTAGTAGGGGCGCGGACCTTTGGCCTGCGGGTTGCCTAGGTGCGCCTTCGACCTGCGGTTAAAACGGTCGGCTACGTTTTCTGTATCCCCCCGTTACTGGAATTCTTCGGCGTGACTCGGGTTAAGTTTAAATAATAATTAAAAAACCGGTTGGCCACGTACGGTGCGGAAGAAGTTCAACATGCAAACGTACGGACGCACCGAGCTGCCATAAATCACCGCGTCGTTTACAGCGGGGCTGGGAAACCTCTGCAAAGATAAAGATCCCCCACCCGCTGTATAGCCTGAACAGAGGTTTGGGGCAAGTGCCGTGAAGGCCGAGGTGCAGACCACGGGGTCGTGTGGTGCCATTACCTGTCCAGCCGAGCCAGCCAACGCCATCTGCCCACTGAACTTGCACAGGGAGATCTTCTGAATGCCAAGCCGTGGGTCATCGCTATAGGGGTCGAAGCAGCCCACCTGTTGGTACCAACAACACACGTAACAAAACACGTGCGCACACACACACACACACAAGCGTATTACAATCGCCAGTTGCCTACGGACGGAATCACTGGACCCTTTGGGTCGCTAAGTCGCTCACCCCACTGGTCCGTATTCACGTTATTTGTGTTCAAAACACACGCACGTCCGGAGCATTGTGAATCGCCTTGATCCCGGTAGAATAGATCATCTACGTCGCTCGCACACTCACATCTAAGCAGACAGCATCACTGAACTGGCTGCCCGTGGGATAGCTAGGTGTACCTTCGGCCCGCGGGTCGGCTAAGTGTACCTCTGGCCTGTGGGTCGGCTAGACACGCCGCTTTTGGCCTACGCGTCAGCTAGACGTACCTTCGGCCCGTGGGTCGGCTAGGCGTACCTCTGGCCCGTGGTGGGTTTTTGGCTCGGCGTACCTTCCGGAAGGGCGGCCACTCCTCGTCCTCGCCCTCCGCGGCGTGGTCGGCCTCGGTGAGGAACACGTTGGCCGTGCCCAGCTTGTAGAGCTGCTTCAGCGCCACCCCCGACGCGTCCCAGAACCGCACCGAGCCGTCCTCGTGTCTGGGCACGGCAACGGGGGGTGGGGGTACAGGGGAGCGGGGATCATGGCTTAGCCGGGCAGCCCACGGCCAGGCAGCACCAGCATCCCCACCGCTCGTTTTCTCCGGTTGCCCCTCCCGTAACGTTGTTTGGCACCGTGTCCAGAGGTTATCGGGCCACGCGCTAGGAGCTTCACGAGCACGTGGAAGCGAAACGTCGGACATCGCACCAAACAATGCACGCAGCACCACCCAGAGAGAGAGCCGTACGGCGCTTCTCATTTACGTGGTGGCATAGCAGCACCAACACAGACCACCACACACACACGACAGCAGCAGCAAGAGCAATGCGATGGCAGCGTCGGGTCTGCGGCACCAAGTGCATAACACGAACCAGAGCGGGCGCCACGAATAACAAGACGAGATTCAACGCAACGATGCGAGCAGCGGCCGGCGCGTTGGAACGCGGTTAATCGATGCCCCCCCCCCCCTGCCCCCACACCCCTCATCCGCCACGAGCCGTACGGCGTGGGGGCGGCAAGACGATCACGCGCACGCGGCCGCCCACGCCGGCGCCGTACCCAGTGAGCAGCAGGTCTCTCAGCGCGGGCTCCGTGTTCCTGTTGATGCCTCCGTTGACGGGCCACTCCTGCGGCGACGACAGGGAGAGGGAACGGGGGCGCACGTCAAAGAGATCGAAGCGAGCGGCACGGTCGGTCGGTGCAGCGCCGCGGATTGATTAAACCGTTCCAGGGCTTCAGCTCAGGCCGTGGACTCTGCATGCCTAGATGACGCGCCACGCCTTTGCCAGAATTTTTCTTTCATTCGTTTTTTCCGCGGCCGCTCCGGTATACTCCCAGGCGGAAAAAACTCTCATGAATTGACCGATTATAATTAACACCTCAATATATATAGAGGACCAGCAGAGCTTGGGCAAATGTTGGTAGTGGCGGCTGACCACCTTCGTGGTTGCCGCCGCCGCCTTTGCCGCACGTCTGCGGTTCCTCCTCACGCCTCTGGGTCGTTCCCTCTCTCTTTGAGACCGACCACCGGAGCGGCAACCAAAAGAACTAACCCCGTGGAGATGGAGCAATGAAATCGGATCGTGCGCCCAAGAGCCAGAAGCTTCGTTTGATCGCGAGACCGTAAAAGCTCATAAATCGGAATCTTTATTTAGACTGGAGGAGGAATCCCATGAGCTATGACGCTCTTTTTCACACATGTCCAGTAGGGGGCACCGGGTCAGAAAGTTTCAGGTGTCTTGCAGAAGGTCCTTCATCCGGCAGCGGATGGATCACATCCGATGAGGACGACGATGAATATCTGTTTTCGAAACGACCCTTGCAGAAGTGCTGGCCAGTTGCCAGCACGGAGATGCTGCCGATAGATAATTGCTCTAGTGCGGAAGACGTGTTATTGCTGTCAGCTCATTTATATCAACGACCATGAAGCTTTGCCAAAGGACTGTGAATCACTGTTATCATGATTATTAATTTTCATTCAACTGCTCCACAAAAACATTCTCCGAGAGAAAAATATATTTTTTTATTTAGAAATGCTTGTTGTCCTTCCCCCACACCGACGATTCGCGCGGTTGGCTACGTACGGTATGCAAAAGAAGTTCAACATCTATACTTACATGTGTTGTGTGTATTGCAAACGGTGATCTCTGAAATAGCGCTTTGCTCAGTGTGCTACTATCCCTATGAATAACTCAACCGGGAATGGATATCCATTGTAATTTCTATACATACATTACCCCCCCCCCGCCCCTCGCACCCGACTGACTCGCTAGTGATAACATCACATTTATCCTTTCTCTCTTTAAGAACGAAACAGGAGGATTTCTCCACAAATCTGGATGTCCGCCTGATGATGCTGGTTGTAATTACTGGCGAAACATCGTACTAGAATAATACATGTCGTGGGGTTTTGTTAACGTGACAAACCTTACGAATTGACGGTGTCGGGTGGTGGCGGGTTTAACGACTAAATCCTACTTGGTGTTCAACTACTATCTCAATGACCCGCATTCATTCCCTGGCCACGCAAGAACCTAAGTGGCAGGTTTGGCACCCGATACTGACGCAAGTTCTTTATATCTCGTGAAGTAGAACTGGTCAGCGGTACGGTGAGCGGCTTGCAATCAGAAGCTTCCAGCTGCGTGTGAACCTATAGGTCCTGTGTAGATACTCAAAGACTCCGAGACCGATCCACTCATATAGATCCACTCACACAGAGACCTCTAGACTCACAGACTCACACACACCTATAGACTAACACACAGACGGAGGCTTGAGCTGATATAGAGCGATAGAGATATGTAGATGAGAGGTGAGGAGATTCAGAGTGGGTTGGGGGTGGCCACGCAAAAGCCACGTGATTTACAGTAGGCTCGAGCTTGCAAGAGTAGGCATGCACGCCGCAGAGGAGATCCTCCGGAGCCTCCCCTCTCGGCGTTGGCGTGACAAAGCAAAATTGCCGGCGGCGCAAGGGGCGGAGGTCGAAGCAATCGCGAGGGCACGGGCGAGGCCTGGCGCGTTCGTCGGCGGACTCACGGCGTGCGACTTGTTCTTCTCGTCCTCCTGCTTGCGGCCGCAGCGCGCGATGCGCTCCCAGATCTTGAGCGGCACGGCGGAGACGTGGTGCGAGCAGGTGATGGCGGACGAGTGCAGCGACGCCAGGTACGGCGGCGGGATCGGGGCCCAGGATTCTGAGCGCAGGTCGATGGCCACCAGCTCCTCCTCCACGAGCACGATGAGGGCCTGCGGCGCGTCGTACTCTGCACGCGCGCACGAGCGCCAGCGCGCCGCCCGTCTTAGTCCGGCGGGTTTTGCCCGTTTTCGTTTGGCGCGCATTGGTGGTAACCAAAAAATAAACTTGTGCCTCACCGCGAGAAGGGGCCACGAGTTCGGTTCGTGACCTCGGGCGCCCTCCCCGCGTGGAGTTTCTAAGTTCTCCCCCTGTTCTGCAGAGTGTGAGCGAGTTTGTGTGAGAGTGTGTGTGAACATATGTACGTGTAGGGTGCGGTAGTACAGCAGTTGGCGGCAGTTAAGAGCGGTTGGTGCACCGGACCATGAGCTCGGCGACCCATGGAGTTCGATTCCTGCTCACGGCCACCACCAACACCAGTGACGATTATCTGAAACGGCCTTGGGCCTACCCTAGATCGGCTCAGCCTCAAATGAGTAACTGGTGTAGCGGTGTGTAGTCAACATCGCCACTGTCGAGACAAAGGCGGTCGGTCAGTCGCGGTCCTGTCAACCCCACCCCCTTGTGTGCCGTGCCGGCTTTGATAGGTGCTCGCTAACAGCACTTGCTCCTACAGTCTGTCAAGGCTATACGGGGGATCTTTGTTTGTTTGCTGTGTATCAGTGCGACTGTATGAGTGTGTGAACTTTGTACATCCCCCCCCCCCCCTTCTGCCAGTCTACCCTAGACCATAACCCGTAACCAGTTTCTCTCCTGGTTTTTTTTCAATGCTGTAGATAAACCGGTTATGATTAGCCACCTCCCTCACCCCACCCCCACAGCCCCCCCCCCAACAGCCCCTCCCACCACAGCCCCCCCCTCCCACAGCCCCCCCTCCCACAGCCCCCCACCCGCCACCCGCGCAACTCACCGCTGTCGGGAGCCTCGTTACAGACGGTGAAGAAGTCGATGACGCGGGATGTGAAGTCGAAGGCGACGTGCCTGGTGCCGTGGATCACGGTGACGCTGTGGCGGTCTCCGTAGCTGGCACGCGGCATGCCACCGCTCAGCACGATGTACGGATCCCTGCCGAGAGAGAGACAGAGAGAGTCGAGCGCGAGGGGGGAAAACCGCTCCCCCCCCCCCCCCCCCCGGTGTTGCCGAAGTCGCCCGCTGCGACACGGCGAGCGGTGCGCCGTGTGATCCGCGATCATCGGGTCGCTCGTTTTTTTTGTTTTTCTTTCGCAAATTATCGTCGGCGCAAGGAGGCTGATGCCATCAAGTGCTGCGGAGTTCCATTTTAAATGTATTCACTGCAGGCAAAAGACATTTATTTCTCTTATAAGGAAACTTCCACTATTTGTACACACACACATATGTAGGACGGAGGACAAGAGGAAAATTTCCAGTGTGTTGTTTGGATAAACGGAAGGAACTGAAAAGAGAGGAAGCCCTAACCGATGAGTGGTTCGATGGCAACATCACAAGAGATCGGTGCCAGAAAGATGTGGCACTGCTTGAGCATATTGGCACAGGACAGAGGAAAGTGGAAACAAGTGACGAAATGTGCAGTGGACAACTTCGGATAATCTGCCCATTGATCGTAGTGATGATGACGATAATGATGATGAAAGCACACATACATGATACATATTCTTAGTTTTTTCGGTAAAGTCACGTAGGTAAAAAATTAATAAAAGTAAAATAAAAATAAAATCACGACGTTTCGGAGGCAACACAAGCTTCCATCTTCAGGTGGAACTGTCACAGCATGATAGCTGTATGACTTGTATCACTTGATACAGCTATCGTGCTGTGACGGTTCCACCTGAAGACGGAAGATTGTGTTTGCCTCCGAAACGTCGTGATTTTTATTTCATTTTACTTTTATTAATAAAAATTTAAATTTTTACCTACGTGACTTTACCGAAAAAACTAAGAATATGAATCCTTGCAGTCACGAAAGCTTCTAATCTACATGATACATGTTCGCGAGCAGGATATTTTTCCGGCAGGAATGTGTATATATACAGTTTCTCGCCTACCCCTCTTGGATTTCCAAGTAACTTTCATTCGAGATGAATGGAACTACGGCTGGGATTATTAGCCGACGATTGACTACTTTTGTTGCGGTCGATTCCTCGGGGCCTTTTAATCACGGCGACCGGCCCAACACGAAGGCAGGAAATCCCCTACGAGCCACGCGGCAGCATCGCGTGGCCGATGACATCGTCAAAGCCCCATGAGACACCACCTCCCGCGTCCGACCGGCAACTATTTTGCGTGCCATCCGGTCGGCCGAGTAACCTGAACCGATAATCCGCGGGGCAATCGGTCACTCAAACAGCCAGATTCACAAGCCGTGCGCTCTGCACGGAACTTATCCGAATAATATAACGAAATCGAAAAGTCGGTTGGGATAAGATAAAAACAAAAACAGAACTGTCATCCCAAGAGCATTGTGCGCAAGCTGCTGTTACAAGACGACCGGTGCGTTTGTTTTCCGTTCAAGCGTGAAAGCAGTGGGGGTGGTGATGGTGGTGAGGGGGGGCGTCACTCACCCTCTCGTTAGCAGCCACTGGATCTTGTTGATGGCTTTGCAGGGGTAGGGCCCTGACGGTGGCAACAGCAACAGGGGCAGCATGGAAATCACGAGGGAGAGGTAAAACACACGGCCGCGTATTTCACTTGCACCCCGACGCGTAAAACAAAAACAAAGATCCCCCGTATAGCCTTAACAGACTGTAGGGGCAAGTGCTGTTAGCGAGCACCTATGAAGGCCGGAACGGTCCACGAGGGGGTGGGTGGCCAGCACCACGCCCGACTGCCTTTGTCTCCCTAGTGGCGATGTTTACACACCGCACCAGGTATTCATTTGAGGCTGAGTCGACCTAGGGGAGGCCCGGGACCGGTTCAGATCACTGGTGTTGGCCGTGAGCGGGAATCGAACCCGTGTCGCCGGGTTCATAGCGCAGCGCGCGAACCGCTACACTACCGCTCCCCACACACGCGTAAAACACACACACACAAAGGCACGGCAACATTAAATACTTGATCTGTTCAAGTGCTGCGCCTGTGTTGTGCTATGTCTGCATGCTAGTGCACGTAGCATGCTATGCTTGTGTGTGTGTGTAGTGTGCTATGCCTGCGTGTGTATTTATGTGTTTAGCGGTTAGCGCACTGCGTGCCATGAACCCGGCGACCCGAGTTCGATTCCCGCTCACGGCCAACATCAGTGGCAAATGAACCAGTCCGGGGCCTCCCCTAGGTCGACTAAGCCGAAAATGAGTATCTAGTGCGGTGTAAACATCGCCACTGGGAAGACAAAGGCGGCTAGGCGTGGTGCTGGCCACCCACCCCCTCGTGTGCAGTGCCAGCCTTCATCGGTGCTCGCTAACAGCACTTTTCCTGACATGGGGGCTCTTTGTTTAGTTTTTTAGTGTGCTATGGTTGCATGCTAGTGCACATAGCATGCTATGCCTGCGTGTGTATGTAGCGTGCTATATCTGCGTGTGTATGTAGCCTACTATGCCTGTGTGTGTATGTAGCATGCTATGCCTGCGTGTGTATGTAGCGTGCTATCCCTGCGTGTGTATGTAGCGCGCTATGCCTGCATGCCAGTGTATGTAGAGTGCTATGCCCGTGTGTGTGTGTGCAGTGTGCTACGCCTGTGTGTGTGCGTATGCAGTGTGCTACGCCCGTGTGTGTGTGCAGTGCGCTACGCCGCCGTGGCAGCAGATGCGTGTGCCCCACCGTAGGGGATCTTGTGCCCCCCCTCGCCGTCCTCCTCCTCCGCGCTGCTGCTGCCTGTGTGCCAGACGCGGTAGCTGCCGTCGTTGTGCGAGCTCACGAACTGCGTTCCGTTCCTCTGCCAGGTCACGCTCTCCAGCTGCTGCTCGCCCCCCAGCACACACGCACACACACGAAGACAAAGATCCCCCGTGTAGCCTTAACAGACTTTTGGATACAAGTGTTGTTAGCGAGCAGCACATCTCTTGAAGGTCGGCAAGGCACACGATGGGGGTGAGTGGCCAGCACCACGCCCGACCACTTTGTCTCCCCAGTGGCGATGTTTACACACCGCACCAGGTACTCATTTGAGGCCGAGTCGACCTCGGCGTGGATCCCAGGACCGGTTCCGATAATCGTCACTGGTGGTGGCCATGAGCGGGAATCGAACTCGGGTCAACACATGTGTGTGCTCTCACCAGTTGGTGGTTAAATCACTTAGGATGTATCCCTGTGAAGCCCTTAAGTGGATTGACCATGGCTGATTACAACGATGACGAGGATGATGATTACGATGATGATTACGATGATGATGTCGATGTTTCTGAGTCAAGGGCCGGCTGGGAGGGCAGCACGTAGGCCATGCGAATGCTGCCCTGGGCTCCAGCGAAAGATCAACGGCCTCTCCCCCCCCTCACCTCTCTCCTCACCTCTGGAGCTTTCGAAAACAACGTCAGATTCCAGCGCCAATTAGGGACGCACGCATTCCACGCGCGGAAAGCGCATTCCACTCACACCGCAAGCCTAAAAACAAAGCACTCACTAACGAGCGTTAATTAGGGAACGGCGCGCCTTCTGCAGGACGGGCTTGGCGCGGGTGCGTCTCAACCCCCACCCCCCCCCCCAACGTCATCCGTGTGCCCGCAACAAATGTGTTTTATACTGCAAAGCGGCCCACAGATACACAGGTCTGAGCTCAGCGGGGAGCTTGAATTACTGTCCCCCCACACCTCCCCCCCCCCGTCTCCTCCCCCCCGACACGACTCGCTCACCGCTCAAGTTCATCTGCCCACGGTCAATCCACTGCTGGATGAAGGCCTCTGCAAGTATTGGTGGATCCAAGAGGCAGGCGCGGTGTGATGAGGGCCATCAGATTTATCCAGCCTAAATAAAGATTATTTTATTTAGGCTGCCAACCACCACCTCACACCCAATATCACGTGGACATTTATAGCAGCCAAATAACGCACGATGTCGATTCTAGATGTGGAGGGGAAAACCCGGAGCACCCGGAGAAAAAACCACGTGACCACGGGGCGACAGAGAGACGCAGACTCGAGATCGAACCCACGACCATCCTGCAGACTTGAACATCTCCCCACCCTCCCCCCCCGCCCCCAGATGTGACACCGGGCGTCCCTCCTTGCCTGCGCCGTGGGGAAGCAGCGGAGCATGCGGCGCGTCGCCTGGTCCCACAGCAGCATGAGGCCGCGGCTGAAGCCCACGAGGAGGCGGTGGGGGTCCCGCGGGTGCTCCTGCACCGCCTCGATGGGGCCCAGCGCCTTGCCGCCGCGGTACTCGTCCGGTACTCTGCGGCACAGGCGCGGTCACCAATGTTACCTGCACTCTGCTGGCGCTGTTGCTAGTGCTGCTGCAGCTGGTCCTGCTGCAGGCGGTACAGCTGGTGCTACTGGCGCTGTTGCTAGTGCTTCTGCAGCTGGTGCTAGCACTGCTGGTGCTACTGACACTGGTACTACTCCTGTTGCTGGTGTTGATGGTGCTACTGATGCTCTCAGTGCTGCTGCTGGTACTCCCAATGCTGCTGGTGTAGCTGGTGCTACCAGTGCTGTTGCTGGTGCTACCAGTTCTGGTGCTGCTGGTGCTACTGCTGCTGGTGCGACTGCTGCTGGTGCTACTCCCAGTGCTGCTGCTGGTGTAGCTGGTGCTCCCAGTGCTGCTGCTGGTGTAGCTGGTGCTCCCAGTGCGAGTGCTATTGGTGCGCTACTGGTACTGCCGGTGCTGCCGGCGCTACCGCTGCTGCCGCTACATGGCACCGGCAGATGCCGACGACGATTTCCCGACAAGGCGAGCGCGACGCTGACCCGTGCAGCAGGTCCTCCTGCGTGAGCGTCAGGTCGTCGAGGAGGCGCATGGCGGGCAGCTCGAGCTGGCTCACGACGCCGCCCTCGGTGCCCACGTAGAGGCGGTCGCCCGCCACGCTCGCCGACAGCACCGTGACGCGCGCCAGGCTGGGCGGAGCGCTAGAAAAACAACGCGCACACGCAGACACGCACGTGAACACACGTACAATACAGGTTCGTAGTGCAGCGCGCTAACCGCTACACCACCGCTCCCCGTACAATACACACGCTGCGAACACACACACACGATACACACGCACGCGAAACACACACCCGCACGACACGCACGCACACACAAAAAAGACAAAGTACCCGCCGGATAGCCTTAACAGACTGCTGGGGGCAAGTACTGTTAGCGAGTAGCGCCTATGAAGGCTGGCACGGTGGCACACGAGGGGGTGGTGGGTGGGTGGCCACCACCACGCCCGGCCGCCTTCATATCCCCAGCAGCGATACTAGATACTCGTTTAAGGCCGAGTCAACCTAGGGGAGAACCAAAGCCAGTTCAGATAATTATAATCGTTACCAGTCAGGGCCGTGAGTGGGAATCGATCTCCTTGGGGGCTCGTAACAAAATGCGCGCTAACCACTACACTACTGCTACACACACACACACGCGCGCACAGGCGCGCATGCCACACACAGCTGCAGTTGAGACAACATAAACCTGCTGTAAAACCATGCCCTAACTCCCAACTGACAGGATTTAGAATGAGGGATTGCCAATCGCACAAGGATCAAAGTCTCTCCTTTAACGACTGATGTACAGTCGCACGAGCATAAAGACACACACATATATACACTACCAACCCCCCCCTCTCCCAGCCCATATAGCTGACACAGGCTTTGGGGAAAGTGCTGTTAGCGAGCACCTACTAAGACCCGGCACGGGCACGTGGGGCAGGCCAGGGGGCAACTGAGTTTGGGGGCCAGCGCCACGCCCGGCCGCAATTTTCGTCTCGCTCTGGACGCTCGAGTACTTCATTTCAGGCCGAGTCAACCAAGGCTGATGCAGCGACGACAGCCGCCACCGCCGCTCGTGACGGTGACGTTGCCGCAGAGAGCTCCGAGGTCGCACGCCCACCGCGCCAATGGCCGGCAGACAGGGGTTTAACTTAAATTTCGATTTAAAGCTTTCGTGACTGCAGGGATTCATCTTCTTGGTTCTTTCGGTAAAGTCACGTAGAAGGGAAGTAATAAAAGAATAAAAATAAAACATGATAAAATAATTCTCACGACGTTTCGGCCACATGAATGAATTCATTCAGACGCTGTCTCCCCGACAGACCTGGTCTTCTTCACCTGAGGACGGCTGCTTGCGTTATTTTATTATATCATTTCATTGGGGTTTAACTTGTCGTCGAAATTTTTTTTGCGGCCCACTGGTCAACTGGAGCAGTGGGTGGGGTGGCGCACGGCAAGTAGCCCTAGCGAGATGTATACCGGATGTGGTGTGCCGGGTGTCGCCCACCTGGATAGATCCGGATCACGTTAAGCACCTGTCGCAAACCCCAAAAAACACCCGGAAATGTGCCGCTAGCGAGAAACATTATCACAGGCGCCCCCTTTGCGGGGTTGCGTCGTAGAACAGTGCGGCAAAATACTGCACTGTACTTCTATGCTCCCACCTGCGTAACGCCGTGTGTTCACCAACCCGCACTGACCAGTGAGGCAAAGTGTGGTCCAATAATATCCACAAATCATAGAACGGGGGGAGGCCCTCATCCAGCAGTGGAGTGACAAATTGGCTTTATGGGGGGGAGAGGGGGGTGGGGGTGAGGAGGTGAGGTGGTGGTGGCTTCTAGCAGCAGTGACGTGAGCAAGCAATTGCAGGGCTGTACCTTTGACCGTTTCTACCGAGCCCAGCACACCAGATGGTGCTACAGCAGAGCGCAACAGTCAACATCAAACGGTGACGAGTTTAAATCCTGATTGGAGAAGGGGGTGGTCATTTCTGCTCCATCATCATCATCATCCCTTTGAGGTCCAAATAAATAAGTACCACTTTGCGGGAAGTCAAACAGTGACCGTCTCTGAGAGACCGCCGCCCGTTACGGGAATGTGGAATTTCCACCGCTCGTGGTGACCGTGGATGGAGAATGAGCACCAGTTACTTCAGGCTTTCCTTTGAGCTTGAGGGAAAAAAAAAACTGGATCGGCATCGTTTTTTTTCTTCCCTTTTGCTCTTCAATTTGACGTCTGGCCGAACAGAGAAAGAGAGAAAGAGCTCGTCCACCGCAGAATGCGTTTGCTCGACGGCGGAGGGTCGCGTGAAGTTAACACCCACGTGATATTTTTTCCACGCGTGCGTGACCCCAACCCTTGCATCGCGCGTGCGTGACCCCACCGCGGAAAGCAGCGTGACCCTGATTTAAAGTTGAGGATGGCCCACGGAAGCGGATATCGGAGAGCTCGCTCGGATCCCTTCTTCAATCGATTTGCGGCCCCACACGCAGTCGAGGGAAGCATTGTTCCTGCCCTCTCTGCATTTGCGAGTAATGTCCATCGCACGACAGTAAAACTCATGTTTTAACGGCTGAAAATTTAGCCACGTCAAGCGTAGAACCACATTTTTTTGAAAAGTGATTTTTTTGTACGCGCAGTCATTGGTGACCGGGCTGAGACCATCAACTCGATACACATCGAATTGCTAGGCTTGAGAACCCGGTTTAAATCGCAGGCAGTGGCCGCAACCTGGATTCGAACCCGGGGGGTTCAGCGTTGCCGGCTCAGCGTCTCCAACCTCTGGGCCACCTCCACAGAGAACACTGCTGCAACAACACGATCGCAGTCGGCAAATTCGCATTTAAATAAAACCATGGGAATGTAAAATTGCAGTTGCCGCTCTGCATCTGCATCAGCCGTACGAAGGAAAAAGAGGAGGATTCAAGTAAAAAAACAGCAATCAAGTTAGCCATTAGAACCGTCACCCATAGACACCTGAAGCGTTCGCTGTGAGATGAAGCACACCATCATAATCATCGTGGCCATCGCCATCATAACGACGACGACGACGACGAGAAGCATGCAAAAACACCATTGCGCGACCCAGCTCCCAGCATTGAGGCAAGGTGGCAGGACAGCTGATGTGAGCTCCTCGGCACTAAACAAAGCAAGCGGCACCACCACCACCACGAGCAGCGATGACTGACCAACGACCCACGACTCAGTGACCCACAACCCAAAGAGGCACGAGCTGGGTGTGAGAGCAGAGAACGGCATGCACGACTCGTCGCCCCCCGGAGCAGCCAGGATGGGGGGGAAACAATCCATTTAGCGGAGACTGCGATCGATTCAACGCGCCGCAAGCCAGCGCTGCGGACGCAACAGACCCAATTTGTCGCTCCCTGCGACGAATGCGGAGGCCCGGGCCCCCAAAACGTCGTCGCCTGCTTGCGCCGGGAGCGACGTTATCATTGGATGCGTTGATATTTTTGTTACGTCCGAGTTTGCTCGCGCTTGTTCGTTCGTTTACGGAGTTGCTCAAATTTAGCTGTTTTTTCTTTTTCTCTCCCCCAAGACGCAACTTCGTGGCTCGGTGGGGGGGGGGAGCTAGTGAATAAATTACGATTTTATTACGGAAACATTGATCGAACGAGAAAGCGTCTTTACCGAAGAAAAAACTAAAACAATTGGCAGCTTTTATTTATAGTTTTAGAGAAGCCTTGTGAGTAATTGTGTTTTTTTTTATCTTGGCCCAATCAATCATTGCACATTGGCAGTTTAGGTAATTAATATGAACGGGGCGTGGCGGTGTGCAGCTGTGGTGGCCGCTAGACCCGATGATGACGATGACGACGACGATGATGACGACGAGGACCTTTGACCCGTCCGTGTGACGATGACGTCGCCTCCCAGCCGTGCCCTGCCAGCGGTTGCCTCAAGGCGGAGGGGGCAGGTGGCGCTCTCGAGCACGACCCGGTGGAGCAGGCACGGGGGGGGGGGGGGGGCGTGCCGGGGGACAAGGTACGGGGTTTTGTACTTTGGATGTTGTTCAGACCCTGGCCGGCTCGGGATGGTGAAAGCCTGGACTTCGGTGAGCGTCGAGTATCCGTCCTTCTCAACGATCTCCCAGAGGTGCAGCGAGCCGTCGTCCAGCAGCGAGACCACGCGCGCCTGACACCAAAGACAAAGATCCCCCGCAAAGCCTCTTAACAGACCACTGGGGCAAGTGCTGTTGGCGAGCACCGATGAAGGCCACATGAGGTGGGCGGTGTGCACAACACCGCCTCCCGGCCGCCTTTGTCTTCCCGATGTTTACACACTTGCACAAGATACCCCATTTATGGCTGAGTCGACCTATGAGAGGCCCAGGACCGGCCGCTGTTATTGATCGTGACAGTAAGTCGAACTCTGGTCACCAGGTTTGCGGTGCGGTGCGCCAACCACCACACTAGCGCTCCCCTGAGAAGAACAGACAAATATCCCCCGTGTAGCCTTAACAGGCTGTGGGGAAAGTGCTGTTATAGCGAGCACCTGTGAAGGCCGGTACGGCACACAAGGGGGGGCCGTTTTAATACATCGCACCAGGTACTCATTTGAGGCAGAGTCGACCTATGGGAGGCCCAGGACCGGCCGCTGTTGTTATTGGTCGTGAGGGTAAATCGAATTCTGGTCACCAGGTTTTGCAGTGCTCTAAACACTACCGCTCCCCTGAAACAAAGACACACACACAGAGACATGTGCCACATGCATTAGAGAGAGATGCGCAAAAGATATACACTGAGAGGCGGTCTGATTCCAAGGGCATATATAGATCTTTCATTGCTATAGAAATCTGCATTGCACTTCCCACAATAATTTTAATATTTCAATCTCAATCATGAGTTATGGGCCTATTTTTCAATGTTTCTCCCACGCATACAACAGCCCAGAACAGATGTTGTAGGATGGACGGGGAGGGAGTGAAGGGAGGGGGAGGGAAGTAGGGGAGGAGAGGGGAGAAGGAAGGAGGGGGGAGGGGAGAAGATGGGAGGGGAAGGGAGGAGATTGGATGGGAGGAGAGGAGATGGTAGAGGATGGGAGATGGGATGGGAGATGGGATGGGAGGGGATGGAGGAGATGGGGAGGGAGGAGATGGGGAGGGAGGAGATGGGGAGGGAGGAGATGGGAAGGGAGGGGAGGTGAAAGGAGCAGAGGGGAGGGAGCGGAGAGAGGGAGCGGGGGGGGGGTAATTGGAGGGAGGGGAGGAGAGGCACCTGTCCTGGCAGGAAGTGGAGCTGCGTGACGATGGCGATGTCGTGGTGCAGTCCGGTGAACTCCACTCCCGGAGCACCGTAGCTGCGGCGCGGGGATCATCAAGGAATAATACCAACAACGATAACAACAACAACGAGAATCATCTCTGCACGTGTATGGCGTCCGCTTAAATTCCTCGGGGCAACTCGGTGCACCTTCAATATCGTCTGAGACATTTCAATTTCTCAACTTGGGATTGACACATGACGGTATAATTCGCGGGTAATTTTTCAGCCGCCCGATTGTAAAAGCTTGGCAGGACCCTTCCCTGACAGAGTCTTGAGACTCGGTGAGGCTTTCCCGGGTCAAACAAATTGGAGTCTTCTTTCGATAGGCGCTTCTGAAAAATAATGAATAGCTCAGAGGGCTTTACCTAGAAAAATACAAATGATTTCGTTTAAGTTTATTTATAGTGATTTCCTTACCTTTCCCATACTTTGTAAAAAGAGCTCATCAGATTTCTGCGGAATAAATAAATATATGTTGAGCTGGTTCACTCCAAGACCCTGTCCCATGGGTTTCTGGCTCTGCCGATTGCACCCGAATACGAACTAACGACGTCAAATTCGCCCTTGACGACAGAATTGGTTGTGTGTTGAAGGTGACACGGACACAACGTTACAGCAGGTCGCGCCACCGCGAGGAGTGGGCGAGCGCCAGCCGCCCACCTGTGGCCCACGAGAGACGCTGCATTCACCATGGCGATTACAACACCACACGATGGACGGAGGAGAGTGCTGCATCATTACTCAACTAACTAAAACCATAAACTATATATATTTTACCAGGTAAATCCCACTGAGCTATGTAGCTTTTTTCAGAAGCGACCTGGCCACAAATGATAGCTCAACGATGTGGCTTATCACGTGGACATTTATAGCAGCCAAATAGTCTAAACGCGCGTTTCCAAATGTGGTGGGAAAAACCGGAGGGCCCGGATAAAAACCCATGTGACCACGGGGAGAGAGAACAGGCAAACTCCAAACATTCAGGCGTCAGGGTCGGGATCAAACCCACGAACCTCCTGTAAACCAGACGAGGTAGTTAACATCTCGCCACCTCCTGCTAATCACCGTGACATTAACAACATCCGTTACGGGATTCAGATAATGACAATAATGATGAGACTGCTTAATCTCGTAAAGTGATTGCGCTCGTGCTACGCAATACAAGGACGCATCGGCCCAAACGTTCAAACAGCTTCGCCCGGCTTGCCAGCCTAAAGTGACATCTTTGTAACGTCATCGGACAGCTCACCGCCGCCACCCCACTCACCGAAGCCCCTTCTGTGCGCCCTAAGAGCCAGCTGCGTGGATGAAACAAACAAACTCCCGTTCCTCACGCGTTGCATGGCAACAACTCCGCGACACTCGGGCAACTCGGCAAGAAGGGCGGCACTCGGATGCGGTGGGGATGTGGGGGGGCGACGGTGTTTCGAGTTCGCCGCGTTGTGTCCCATGTCCGCCGTCTGCGGGCAACTGCGGAGAGGCCGTTGACGCCACCGCCGCCGCGGCATCGTGAGTTCGTACCGCGGCCTCTCTCGCTTCTGTGGGCCACTTCTCGAGAACGGGGGCGATGCCCGGCCGACCCTGTCGCCCTGCGAGAGATCCATGAATGAACGGATCTCTCTCACGACGTGATGGGGATTGCGGGACTCATTTTTAACCTATGAAAGGGGCCGCACACTTCGTCTGGCAGTCGACGTAGATTTGTCCCAGCTCTGTCATGTCACACCGTGACCATTTCTGTCACCCCGCCTACAATCGCGCTCTAACAAGGGTATGACTGGAGCAAGCGCTTATTTGTATATACACAGGAGGCACTCGCTGCACCTCATGGCGAGCAGGCGGGCCCCTGCCCGTCAGCCCCACCCAGACAGTGAGTGGCCCGATGTGCTGCAACATTGGCCCTGCCCACTGCCCAGGTAGCCCCACCCACTACCCAGGTAGCTCTGCCCACTGCCCAGGTAGCCCCACCCACTGCCCAGGTAGCTCCACTCACTGCCCAGGTAGCCCCACCCACTACCCAGGTAGCCCCACCCACTACCCAGGTAGCTCTGCCCACTGCCCAGGTAGCCCCGCCCACTACCCAGGTAGCCCCACCCACTGCCCAGGTAGCCCCACCCACTGCCCAGGTAGCCCCACCCACTGCCCATGTAGCCCCACCCACTGCCCAGGTACTGCCCGGGTAGCTCCGCCCAATGCTCTGGGAGACCTGCCCTTTCACAGCCCCTCCCCCGGGGAGTAAGATTTTAAACCGGAGAGAAAATCCCGATTCTTTGCGAATGCTTCGGGACACCGGGACAGACGTCATGAAACCACCCGGGGACTGTTCTGTAAAAGCCGGAGGGGGGGTGGGGGTCGGTTTTGTAGCGTCACCATTGGGCCCCCATCAACCACGTTCACACCGCAGCGGACGCTGCTACTCACCACTCACCTGACCCACTCACCCAACCAACCCTTGCAGTCACAATTAGAGCAACCGGGACACGCGTGGGCAAGCTCTTTAGCCCCCGCGGGATAAACAAGAGGGCTCACATTACCCAGACAAAACCCACCGGGAACGCTAAAAATAACCATCCTTTACATGGTGGTGGTGGGGGATAGGGGGGAAGTCACAGGCCACGCGGAACCCTGTTGGCATAGCACACCACGTGGGTAGCTCTTGCCCGAGAGGGGTAGGTGGTGGTGTGGGCGTTGCATGGCTGCGAGCAAAAGGCGGCACCGATTTACGCAGAGACCTACCGTGGCTCGGAGGGAGCCAAGCTGTCGCGTAATGGTAAGCGCGAATGGATTTCCAATCCAGTAAAATGGCCCGTTTCGAGTGCCACGTTACGACTGGTGGCAGATGAAAGCATGCAAGCAGCAGCCTGCGCACGCATCTCACGTCTTAACGCGGACTGTGCTTTACCCCCTATATTATTTATTAGAATGCGATGATTCCCATAACGCGGTGTTTTTCAGCAAGGCGGCAACGACCGCATTACCGAACAAGGCTACATTTCGCTTCGACCAGCCGAGAACTTTGAGAGACGGACAGGGAGTGGAGGGGGTCTCCATTCGCAAGTGTGACCCGGTCACATCGGATTATAACTTTGCTTGTTCACTTGCGAGGGCCACGGCGGTTTTGCAACTCCCCGCGACACATTGAGGAGCCGCGACTCACGACCGACCCGCGCGAGTCAACAGCCCGCACCACCCGTGCCGGCAGGCCGTCTGGCCTCCGTCTTCGCGCGCAAATGCATTGGCCGCAGCACGCCCCGGCACGGGGTCCAAAGTACAGGGCGGAGATGGGGGATCTGCGGTGGCGCGAACCGAGACAACATATTTGCCTTACAGACCGGTCGCCGTACAACTGGACCTGGGCACACGGGCGATCGTCTCCAACGCCGCCAGCCGCGGTTATTTTGCCATCCGTGGGTCTTTCGGCGTTGGCCGGAAAATAAAAGCGCACGCAGATTGCTGCGATTCTAAATAAAGACGATAATCGATTGTCGATTTTACCAAACTTTCACCAACTACACGCAGATGGGACACGACCAGGAGTTGGAAACCTGCGGATTCCGGAGCCCGCATGCCAGAGGTCGCAAACGGGTTTTGATTTCTTACCCGTACCCGGCCGCACCAGGGTCGCAAACGGGTACCCGCACCCGTACCCGGCCGTACCCGTACCCTCCCGTACCCGGCCGGGTACGGGTAGGGTACGGGTATCGGGTACCCGATTGCGACCTCTGGGATGAAGCCATGTTGCAGGCGTGAGTGGGTTGATTCTAGTAACTTGAATTGTGAGGAGACAAGACGTTGGGAAATGAGTGATAAACGGTTACTCACCAGTGACTCACGGCCTACCCGTACCCGTACCCGGCCACACCAGGGTCGCAAACGGGTACCCAAACCCGTACCCGGCCGGGTACGGGTAGCCGGGTATCGGGTACCCGGTTGCGACCTCTGCCGCATGCGGTGGCTCTTTAAGGGACCGCTTCGTGACGCGTTATTTATTGAGGACCACCGCCGCCGTGGTCTCGCATTTACCCCATGGCGCATTGCGGCCTCTTGAAATATTTAGGGGTTTTATTTCTTTTGATTGCCGACCCCTGATTATGACTGACAGGGTGAGCCGAGGCCTTGAATTGTCGTGGGGCATCAGTGCATTAGGATTGGCTCTGGGAGGAGCATTGCGTCCGCTCAAACATTTGGACGGATTAAAGAATGACTTTCACACAACCAACATCATCGTCGTGATCAGCCATGGTCAAAGTACCACGTGGATGATTGTCTCCCCAATCCACCACCACTAATCAAGGGCTGTAATTTATTATTATTTCATAGTATTGTCATAATGCGGAAACGCTCGCGCTAAACCAACTGCAACACTTTCTGTAAATCAACGAGAGAGTCATCTTTCCAGCGGCGGGTCCCTCCTCGTTTCACCGGAACGATTGGTCCATAGCATTTGACGAGCGTTCAGAACGACCCTACGGCGAGCGAGAAAGCAAGAGTCAAAACACACGCAACGTTGCGGCAAATGCCCAAACAAGCGCAAGGCGACACTCGTGAAACGTGCAGCGGGCGCCGCGCAGAGAGGCTCAGAGGCACGCGGTGGACATGGCAGACCCAGGGAAGTTGCCAATTTGGCTCTGGCTGGAGACTCCACATTTGACGGGCGGTTGTTATTGAGTCACTTGTCAAAGCAAATGAGAGAATGCGTAGGGGGAGAGGGTGTGGAGCACTGTCCAATAAAAACAGGGACCCCAATTCTAATGTCCCAAAGAATACAAAGATCCCCCGTATAGCCTTAACAGATTGTTGGGGCAAGTGCTGTTAGCGAAAATGATGAGTCCCGCAATCCCCATCACGCCCGGCCGCCTTTGTCTCCCCAGTGGCGATGTTTACACATCGCACCAGGTACTCATTTGAGGCCAAGTCGACCTAGGGGAGGCCCAGGTCCGGCTCAGATAATCGTCACCGGTGTAGCTGCACCCACAGCTCCCGCAGGCTGTCACAAGACACACACGTTCACTCCAATGGTTGAGTTCACCAGCAGCAGCGGTGGCAAGGGCTGCAGGAAGCAACAGAGACACTGACAATCTGGCCATCCGCACGTCACCAACAACCTGTAACCCAAGACACGGTGGGTTGGTGGTGGGGAAAAATAACAAAATAGTCCACGCTGCTGCTGCTGCGTTGACACACATCGTCTGTGCATGGGCCGGCGAAGGGGAGGCATGCTGTGGGATTGTGGGGTGTGTACAGGGCGAGGCACAGGCTGGACCTGATTCTCAACCTAGGGCTGCCACTACTGTACACCACTGTACCCTACTGTACCCCCCCCCCCCTAGAGACGCACGTGGTGTACTGTACAAAAACATTCCCAAAGATCTCCTCCAAATAGCCATTGGGGCAAGTGCTCTCTGTAAGCGAGCACCTATGAAGGCCGGCACGGCACACGAGGTGGGGGTGGCCAGCAACACCACCCCCGGCCGCCTTTGTCTCCCTAGTGGCAATGTTTACACGCCGCACCAGGTACTCGTTTGAGGCCGAGTCGGCCTAGGGGGAAGCCCCGGGTTCGTAACACAACGATCAAGTGACAAATGTCATTCCTAAAGCGCCTTTCCTACAAGGTATTCAAGGCGCTGAACATCCACAAATGGGCACACGAATCGTTGGCCATGTGGAGAAAACTAAAACATGACAAAAATCTACGCAATATTAAAAAAGGTAATTAAGAGAGGTGGGTGTGGGGGGGGTTAAAGCACCACCGCCCCGCCAACTCCATCGTCTCCGAATCGCGAACAGCACTGAGCAAAGCGTTACGAATAGGCTATCCCCGCCCGCCCGGCCGCCATAGAAACGTGGAATTTCCACCACTGACTTGTGGACCGCAAACAGGAGATGAGAACCACTGCCCCGATGCTCCGTTTGAGCAGGAAATCGCTGCTCGGCGCTTTCTCTGTGAGATTTCGCGTCTCACAGTTTTCGCTGTCGAGTATGCGCAGGTTTGAATTCACTCCACATGCGGCTATGCGGTCGGACATGGCACAACGCTGTGTGTGTTCTGTAGTGTGTGTGTGTACCATGTGTGCCGGGTGTGTGTACTGTGTATATGTACTGTGTGTGTACCGTGTGTGTACCGTGTACTGTGTGTGTACCGTGTGTACTGTGTGTGTACCTTGTGTGCCGTGTGTGTGTACCGTGCGTACTGTGTATATGTACTGTGTGTGTACCGTCTGTGTGCCTTGTGTAAAGTGAATGCGCTAATCAGCAGGCAGCTGTCTCGTGCGGTGCATTGTGGGTTGGATGACCGCTCGCTCCACGCTCCGCAATTTCGCCTTGTGCGACCCCCCCCCCCCCCACCTTATTTTTAGGAACACATCTACTACCCCACTAAGCGAGGGGGAGAGCCGCACATTTACTTGATTAACTTTGCCCGCGTGACGACGAGGAGGTGTTGCGGATGTACAATCCAAGGGGGCCTGCCACCCGTTACAATTCCCTGCGTACACAAGGCACCGTCGCCGGTTCGTAAAGGCCATGGCCCCCACCCCAACCTTCCGGTTCGAACCTGTGCGTACGACAACAACAAATTATAATTATCTTCCCACCATCAACAACGAGCGTGCACAGCACACACAAGCTCGACAGTGGCTTGTCCAGAAACGGTTAAGAAGCTGTTTTTGGGACACGCAAAAAAACACATCGGATATCGAAAGGCCGCGACGAATCGACGCATTTTAATGTAAAGCCAGCGAAACAAAAGACATCAAGTCACCTGCCCACGTGAGTGTCTGGAGACTGCCCCTGACAGACAAGCACGGGGGCACCCCACTAAGAATCGGGGGTAAAAGACCACACACAGACGCAGAGAAAGGTCAATTGCCCTGACTCTGAAACACTCGCTAATCCTGGCCGGGAACAAATGAATTCTCAACCTAAAACTCCGGCGTGCCGTGAGCATGAGCTCGCTCGCTGCCCCAAGGGTGGGCCAGCATAATGAAGATTATCCTCCGGGCTTCAATCAGATAAAGGTCGGAATGGCATCTCGGTCGAGAAGTAGAAGCGCGGGCGAGCGAATGGATTTTCCACGGCGCTTACGAGTTTCTGTTCCTGCGTCGGAGGCGTGTGGTCATTGTCCACCGCGCCATTTTACTTTGTGAACTCGGAGAATATTTGTTTTCTTTTCCAAAACACCTACGGCAAACGGTGGTGACATTTGGGCCACGTGAAGTCATTCGGGATCATAATGACCCTCCATGCAGTACCGCATCATTCATCATAATCATCATCATCGACGCTTAATCCACTGCTGGACGAAGGCCATTGCTGTAAGCTGTTGCCAAGCCCAAGTGACGCAACGCGGACGTGACGCAACGCTCCTTCGCACGAGCCGACTCAGAGCAGGTAACCAAGGGGCACGGCCGGAGTTAGTCAATCGGCACAGGCTGCGTGTGGTGGTGGGGTCAAGTATGGGTACTCCCCACAAAATAGCCCTTCTCTAAAGTGTATCTCTCTCTTTCGAGAGAGGTTTCTCTAGCACAGGGGTCAGGGGCAACCCCAAATAACAAGAGGAGCCATTTTTTTCGAATTCGGTAAAAACAACCACCGCCCCCCCCAATGTTTCAAGAGCCGCAATGCACGAGACAGTCTTTCATGTGAACCGATCATGAGCCTCCCCGATGTCAACCCAGCCTCAAACGAGTACCTGGTGCGGTGTGTAAACATCGCCCCTCTTGAGACAAAAGGCGGTCGGGTGTTGATGTTGGCCACCGCCCCCCTCGTGTGTCGTGCCGGCCTTCGTAAGTGCTCGCAAACAGCACTTGCTCCAACAGTCTGTTACAGGCTACACGGGGGATCTTTTTCTCTTTGTGAGAAATCAGCTTTGTGCCAATAATCCTCGGATAACAACCCTGGGTCTGTCCCGTGCTCTGCTGTCAACAGCGAAACTCGCGCACTTCACGTGACGGCCTCAAAGTGCACCTAGCCTGGCACGCAAGTGCTCTGGTGACGTCACCGCCGCTGAAGTGGCGAATGGCGGCTGTTGTTTTTTTGCTTGTCATATTTGAATGACCTTATTTGACAACGGGCACGGGTTTTTGTAGTCGGTTACTTCCCGGAGCATCTCATGATCCAGAGAATACGGTAAATACCAACAGCAAACACAAAAAAACACCGAATTCCCTTTCAAGGTTACTGCAGTGGCTGTTAACGTAGGGGGGGCAAACATCACCTACTGCTTCCAGTTGACCCCATTTGCCTGCCATAACGAGCTTTACGCTGTGAGCTTACATTAAAACCTCAAGGTGTGGCGTAGTTCAAGCTTCACTGCTGAGAGAGAGCGTTAAAACGAGGCGGTGAGGATTAAAAGATGGTAAGATGGTAGTTGAATTAATACACCGGGGCTTTAAGCTTGCCAGTGGTGAAATAAATGAATGTGATTTCACCAGTTGCATTCCAGACATTGCTTCAATTTCACTTGGAGCCACGCACAACCGGAATGCTATCGAATAGATGGATCCACTCACAATCACTCCTCCAATTCCTGATCACAAGCAAGTCTGATTAAACGAGTCGGCGAATGTTGACAGTAAGCATTAGCGGCCATTGTAAAATGAAGGGTAGCAGCCCCCTGGCCCGTTCCTACGATGATGAAAAAAAATAAACCTCACGTTTGTCAAAAACTGTGGCCTTAAAAGGAAATATAATTATAAAATAGGTGAAGTTTTGGGCAACTTGTCCTCCTTTGGAAACCTGGGCCAGAATCCAGAATTTTTTCGCAAAATCTTCGGGTCACGGGGACAAGCCGTTATGAAACCAACTGGGACTGTCCGGGCCAAGCCAGGAGGACCGGTTTTGGTAGCGTCACCGTTCGGCCCCCATCAGCCACGTTCACACCTCGGCAGACGCTGCTACTCGCCACTAACCTGACCACTCACCCAACCAACCCTTGCAGTCACAATTAGTCCAACCGGGACACGTGTGGGCGATATTCAGCCGACGCTAAATCCGAATGAGCAAATCAACAGGCCTTTGTCGCTCCACTGCTGCATGATGTTATCTATCCCCCCACCACCTCTCCAAGCCGTGTCAGTTACGTTCACAAGTAGCCACGCACTCGCCTCGCCTGCTATACGGGAGGTCGTAGGTTCTATCCCGACCCTGACCCTTGTGCATTTGAAGTTTGCATGTCTCTCCCCCGTGGACGTGTAAATTTTTCTCCAGGTCCTCCGTTTTTTTCCCCCCCTCCGCATTTAGTATCAACTTGCGTTCAGAGTATTTGGCCGCTGTAAAATGTCCACGTGATAAAATAAGCCACTCGGTTGGGGCCTTACCCGGTTAAAATAAAAAAATAAAGTTTTTACTTGACACTCACCCATCGTCGCGACAGCACTTACCGCAAGCACGGCGCGAAGATAAGTGCGGCTCCTCTTTAATCTCGCGCGTCACCGGCGGCGACGCCACGCCGGGAGAAAGGATACATTTTGACGGCGCCGGACTTGGTACCGATGGCCATGAGCCGCAGGTCGGGGTCGTAGGCCAGGGCGCTGGGTTGGTGCGGGAAGCCATGCTCCACTGTCTGCGCGGACAGAAGCGACGGGAGGGCAGAAGCTGAAGCGTCGGTCTCAGCGGCGACGCGAACGGGGGTGGGGGCAACTCCGAAACGTCGGTCAAAGAGGCGGTTGGCTGCTGCGCGAGCGGAGCTAACGGGTCGACGATCGGTACCCCGCTGGACGGAGGTGCGACAGTCGGCCCTGATCCTGTTGCACGTGGCTTATTGCCGTGGTTCCCAACCTTAAGCTTTCGTGGAGGCGTATCCGTATTTTTAATAATAATATAATAACAATAATTTTTACTTGCTGCTCCATCACACCTGGTATTCACTCAAAGAGAGATGATAAATATTCTTGGTTCTTTCGGTAAAGTCACATGACTTTACCGAAAGAACCAAGAATATGGGTCCTTGCAGTCACGAAAACTTCTAATCTAGAAAGAGATGATGAACTCAGAGGTGTGCGGGGGAGGGCCAGCGTCCACGCGGTGGCGAGTCGGCTCCAAATTCCCACCCCCCCCCCCCCCACCAATTTCCGGAATTTTTTGGCGGACGGTGGCATCAAAAGATTACGACTCACATCACACGTTCGAACGGGAAAGCAACTTCTGATGGATAGTCTGCAGCTCAGAGAAAAATCCACACCACCACGGGTAGAGAGAACACGCAAACTCCAAATATACAACAGGCGTCAAGGGTCGGGATCGAATCCATAACCTTCTGTAAACCAATACGCCACTAAGTGATGGTGATGTCACCATGGTGCCTCTGCCAGGCCAGGGGCACTTTCAGGCCACGTGAAGTGTCAAAGGCTCGCCGATAAGAGGTCACGTGACAGACCCAGGTGCCGTGGGTTGACTGACGGAGATGACTGGCAGATGCACCACCTGTGCCCTCTACGGTGCCAACTCGCTGCATTTTAGCCGCCCGGCGCTCCGCTCGTTGTTGCGAGCATCGGTCCTCTGCCCTCCGTTGTTGTTAGGAGGGCGTCTGCCTCCAACTGACCTACAGCGTCCTTCACGAGCCTCCTCCTGTATACCAGTAAGGCGAGTGATGAGCAGGCCACGCCAGCACATTGCTCCTACACGGGGACCGGGTGTTTTTGTGACGGCGGTGTGGAATGAGTCACCTTCATTCGCGTCGTAAGGACGTACGTGCGGGGGGGGGGGGGTGTCCGCGCATGTGCGTGTGTATGCGCGCGTGACACAAGTTTCGTTGGCACGGGACCCAGGCTACCTCTGTTCGCTGTGAAAATGTTCCCCCACCCCCCCCCCCCCGTTTGGAAAAATACACACACACGGACGTGACCTATTAAGCCTCCCGTATCCATACGGCGTCTCGAATCGTTGAGTGAAATAAATCGGCGGACAATACGCCTCCCTGCACGTGTCCGTCTCCCTCAAGGTAATAATAAAAAAAAGAAAAACAAGACATGTACAATAAAAATTGAGTTACAAGATTTGAGGATACGACAACAGAGTGAGTTAAATAACAGCGTATAAAAAGTGCACCCCATCAGCCACACAGCCCTCTGGGAAGACTTAATTTGAGCAGCGACAAAGCTTTCAAAAAACGCAGGCAAACTCTGGACCGGTTTTCGACCTTGAGTGTCTCATCGGGTAATCAGGATTGCTTAAATCGATGCTGGTGAACTGCCAGACGTTTATAGGCAAAGGACCGCCCCTCCCCTCTTCTCCACTCTGTCATAGCTTGACGAAAAAACTATATAACACGCGACACAAAATCGACGGTTGATGTGCAAGTCGCTGGTCGATGCAGCCGATGGCGAGAGAGACCGCTTTTTATTTGAGCGGCACGCGTAACATTCCACGGGAGGGTCTAAAAACGTTGAATTGAACGCGTGACTAAAAACTACAATGCTGGCTAATCGCCCGGTGAAGCCGGTCGTTGTAATCACCGGCGAAACGTCACGGTACTTGATTTGTAAATGTCGTGGGTTTACTCTCCCAACGCACCGGGCGTGCTGAAGTTGTAACTAATTGACACGTTTTGTTTTACGTGACAAAACCTTAGTAATAGGCCGTGTCGTGTGGTGGCGGGTTTAACGACACATCTTTATTCACGCGATCTACACAAAATTAAACCCTTTATTTTGGAGAACTTTTAAATCTAGTTTGAGCGTTGATGTGTTTTTCAGACGACTGTCCCGTGTAAAATAAAAAGTTATTTAATTTGTTTAAGCTTTCCTATACTTCGCACTCCTATCGTGTTTTTGTATTGTTTGTTGTAACGTTCTTAGCCAGTGCCCCAACTGGACATCTGTGGAAAAAAAGCTTCATAGCTCATCGGATTCCTCCTCCAGCGTCAAAGAAGATTTTTATTCTGGACCCAACAATGTGAAATCTCTGGCCCTGGCCCCAGGGACTGTACAACAAGCCCTGGGGATAAACTCACCAACACCACATTTGGACCCTTGGTTAACAAAGCGGAAGTGCTCACCACACAATCCGTTCAGCGAGATGGAACCGGAGATATTGCTAGCGTAATCACAACATTGTGCGTGTGAAAAAAAACACACACAGACCAGCAAGGGGAAAACGTTATGGCCACGCTTTTAAGACGTCCGTTTGAAGACGTACTCAAGAGACCGGGTGTCGGTAAAGCTATTGAGGAGGTCTAGAGCGAGGTCTGTCACGCTTTTCCAAACATCTTCTTTCGTTTGGCTCGTGCACACAGAGCAACGATGAGAGAATCAGTTGTCATTCAGCCAATCCATTTCTTTGTCTGAGAGTTTGCAATCCACCCACCCAAAAGACAAAGATCTCCCGTGTAGCCTTAACAGACTGTTGGGGCAAGTGCTGTTAGCGAGTAGCGCCTATGAAGGCCGGCACGGCACATGAGGAGGTGGGTGGCCAGCACCACGTCTGGCTGTTTTTGTCTCCCCAGTTATGATGTTTACACATCACAACTCTAGGTACTCATTTGAAGCGGAGTCAACCTCGAGGAGGTCCTGAACCAGTTCAGATAATCGACACTTGTGTTGGTGGCCGTGAGCGGAAATCCAACTCGTAGCGCAGCGTGCTAACCGCTGCACTCCCGCTCCCCAAATGCACACACGCACGCGCACACACACACGCACACACACACAGTGTGTACACCTGGAAATGCGAGCCGTCACCACGCGCTTCATCATCTCACGCAGGGTTTGTTGGGAAGCCCAAACCACTGCACCACCGCTGCCAGCTCTGCCACCAACACTTGATCCATAAGCACTTTGCCCACACACACACAAACGCACCCACCCACCCTTACCCAACCACCCTTCCCTCCCTCACCCGCCCACTAGAAACGATCACCCTGACACACTCGATTCAACGAGTGTGTGGTTAAGGCTTGGGAATTGATATGAATGGATTAATCAATCCATCGGCACACCGCTAACCATCTCTAACATCGTGTCTACTCATGCACTATGCATGTGTGGCCAAACCATAATTGAGCTGCTAATAGACTTAGGGTCAAAACCCAAAATTAATTATCGTTAATATTAAATGAGCCAGTTTAACACGTAGGCTTTCGCGACCAATATTATTCATAATCTGGCGAATTGCCCGATGATGCTGGATGCAATTACCAGCGAAACGTCGTACTCAAATTGTAAATGTTGTGGTTTCACGCTTCAACACACCGGTGGGCTAAAGCAGTGAACTATTTGTCTTTTGTCAACGTGACACTTTTTTACTGATTGGCCGTGTCGGGTGGTGGAGGGAGACGACACATTTATAAATAACGCGATCTAAACCCAAAAACGTTGATTATGATTAATGAGCCAACAGGAATAACACGTTTTCCGCACGAAAGCAATTATCTATAGGAAGTGTCGATTTGTTTGGCTACTGGCCAGCATTTCCGCAAGGCCATTTCAATAGCAGATCTTCATCATCAAGAGTCTAACCACTGCTGGATGGAGGCTTTCCCAACAGCATCACCGTCCGTAGCCGGTCCTGCTACATCACGATGTCGTCTGCAGAGGTTCAGTGACGAAGCGCAGCCATGCAACCGCTTGCCTCACTTCACCGCCGGCAGAAGAGGCACCAGTAGAGGGAGCTCTATGGGGCAGAGTTCGAGAGGTATTTGGTCTACTCTTCCACGTCGACCAGACGTCTTGAAAGACGTGCGAGCTGCCCACCGCGTACAACCCTGCCGATCGACATCACTGTGGTGAACCCGCTGACACTGCTGGGTGGGCAGAGGTGGTGGTGGTGGGGATATTTAAAATGTATGACTAAACTATTTTTTATTTTACTAGGTAAGGCCCCCTGAGCTATATGGTTCATTTTCAGAAGCAACCTGGCCACAAATGATGGCTTAACGAAGTGGTTTATCACGTGGAAATCTATAGCAGCCAAATACTCTATGAACTCACGTTGATTCTAATTGTGGAGGGAAAAACCTGAGGACCCGGAGAAAAATCCTCGTGACCACGGGGAGGAAGAGAGAGAGACGCTCAAACCCGTGGGGTCGGGTTCGACCCCACGACCTCCTGTATACCAGGCGAGGGAGTTAACATCTCCTAGCCACCGCGACGACGCCCCTGTTTAAGAATCTTGCGCCATCGTTTTGAGTCGCCGCTCCGGGGGCTGGAGTCGAAGAGGCGACCCCTGGCTTGCAAGTCGTGGCGCGCCGACCATCACACCCGGGGGGGGGGGGGGGTGGTGGAGGGAGCGTCCCCCATTCATTGAGAAAACGCTGGAGGGTGGAAAAAAACGAGATCCGCACAACGCATCTGCGTTTGCCCCCAACTTCAACGTGCCGACTGGGAGCGGCGCTTCGGTTTGTCGTCTCCTTCAAGGGTTTTAGCGCTTCGGTTTTGCGTTTCTAAACAAAGCCCGAGGCCCGCACATGCATCATCGGCCCTGCGCGGAAAGGCAGAGAGTGCTTTCCCTTGCGACACGAACAGGAAGGCATCGCGAGGCGTAAATCAAGTGGCATGGGGGGGGGGGGTAGTGGCAAGAATCCCACATGACACAACCACCCACAGGCGCCTCCCGAGTGCTGGAACGCTG